TTTCCCTTTTCAAGATGAGGCCCTTTTCAGTCTACAGGAATATGATTAAGCCTTCTCGCTGTCCATCCTAAATTCCTACCAATCAAAGAGCTTCATGCTTATCTGGCTGCAGGGATTTACTCACAGGTATATGCTAGAATTCCCCCCAGCATTCCCATCTAGAGTAAGTATAACCCAGCTGTAGGGTATGACAGTGGGCATCTCCACTGTCTGAGGGCGCGCCTACATGTGCACCTAATTGCGCAGTTGTTATTGGGCAGTCCTGGTGCCACACAGGTTATTTCTGACCCTACTGCGCAGTAGCAACAAGTTACTGTGTAGTAGTGGTGGCATCATGGTTCATGCCCGCTGATGCTACGTCACAGTAGCTCATTCTACAGTGATGTAGTGTCTTGTGTAGATGCACTCTGAGAAATGGTGTTATTGGTTGGATGAGAAGTGCTCCTCCTGCTAGTCTCACACCATCTCCACAGTGGCCAGCGCCTGAATAGTTGCCTCCCCATTCCACTAGGAGCTAGCTGTTCTCTACATGATATTCAGTTGAGTGTTCAAGTGCTTTTAGTATGTGTTGCCATGGACCACTTATTGGAACTAATAATTTCCTTTGGTAGCCTGTCACCTGGAGCTTTTTTGGCTCGTTTGCATGTTGTGACATTATCCCTCAGCTTTGTTTTGCCCCTATTTTCAGTTTTTTGTAAATAGCAGAACATCAGAAACGTATTCTGAATATCAAAGTGCTAGGGCACGTGATCCTGAAAAGAGGAGCTAGAAAAGGGTTAGAGCATCACACTAGCATTGGTAGTCTACTTTAGCTTCTGATTATTTTAGATGCTGCAATGCATTAACCAGATATTATCATTCTTCTCTTCACCATGATGACTAAGGTATATTTTCCTCAGAAAGTCAGTGTCAGCTGAGAACACACCAGCTTATATGAGTTCATTTTCCCCTGGTTTGTATTTAACAGGACAAGATTAAGCAGTTTAAGTCTCAAAATGCAAGAGACTTAGAAACAAAAATGTACAAAGCAGTGGGGAATAATTTTGCTTTTTGAAAATTAATGGAAAGTACTTTTTGCAGGGACTGTTTGGATTAAGGAAGTGATTAGGCAAGATTTCAATGGCTGTTGTAAGGAACTCCGTATTTGGACCAAGTAATTGTCTTGCAGATATTTCCCTCAACATGAGCAGCTCTTCTTCCAACATCTTTTTTGCCCACTCATTCTCAGTCACTGTGAGTTTAGAAACTGAGCAGATTAATTAGTTCTGATTCTCTACCTATGTATAGAAGTCCAAAGATGGCTGGAATGATGAAATGATCCAGAAGTACAGCATCAGCACCCTACACTTGGTAAGCGTGCCTGCCAGCTGGCTGACAAAACTTCCCAGGAGTTCCAGCTAAATGTTGCCTTCTAAATTCCTTGCTTGCATGCACTTGCAAGGGCACACTCCAAAGGAATCTTCCTTCCAGTGCATTCCTCCCACAGCATGTCTCCCTGGGCCAGTCACAAAGATAGGAGGAGGTGATTCACTAGGGA